TGAAAAAAAACCTTAGAAGAAATTTGAAGACAAACTCCACGTGCACCTCACCCCCACATATAGTATCTTTCACAGTAAAGGCATCATTGCAGTGGAAAAAATAATGAACATCTTAGAAATCATGTGGGATATATTCAAGGTCAGAGGCTTGTTGAAAAGAGTCTACAACCACCTTCTTGGTTGCAAAACACGTCCAATATTAGTCAGAGGAAACATTAACAATGAAAATGTACCCAAATTAATTCTATGGTGTGGAAGTGGAGAAGTCAAATGGTCAGACTTAAATTTGGCTGATCCCACTGGTTGCCGCACCCTGAATCATTAGAGTCATTGGCCTCGGGGTCCAATGGGGCTAGGCAGAAAAGATAACATAGCCCAAGCTGTGTTATCTTTTCTGAGGAATCCCCATGAGACCGGAGGAGTTCTACCTCCAGCTTTCTCCCTGACCCGTCCACATGTTCCTCTATCCCACCCAGTTTCTGGCCTTCTCTCTACACAGATCCTGAAAAAGAATTTGTGAGGGTGAGGGAATTGACCCCGTGCAACAGGGGGGAGCTGGGTGAGTGCACACATGGACGTCCCACCATTCAAGCTAGTAACGTCAGACATTTTTGGTAAATCACGAGTTAGTCCCTGTGAGACATCCCCATCTGTACCAAATCTGTAGAGCCGGGGTGGGGAACCTTTTCTGGGTCGGGGGCCGCTGACCGACAGAAAAGACAGTCGGGGGCCGCAAACAAGTGAGAAGCAAAAATAAAAAACCAAGCCCATACTGATGTGGTCCTGACGGAGAAGGAGAAAGACACTCCCCACACATTCCCCTCACACATCAGAGCTTAGGGGGGCCTGGGCCAGTAGATTTTTTTGTGCTCCGGCCCTGCAGTGGGGCAGCGGGGGGCTGAGGTTTCAGCACAGGCTCCCTGTAAATGCGTTTGTCCGCGGGCGCGTTCGTCCTTCCCGCCTCTACCCCTAATCCCATGCTCCCGTCACCCCATAGATCGCCTCCCGGCATTCTGGTCAATTGTACTTTCGGCCCACCGGCCTCTTTCATGTCGGAGGCCTGCTCACCTCCCGCGGTGGGAAAAGGGGGGTCCGGGCCCACCCCCTCTCACGGACCCCAGCCCAGGGCCCTAAGGACTCGGACGTCAGGGTTGTCTGGTCCGGCTAGCAGGGCGTCTGCCTTAACGCGCCAGCCCGCAGGCTCCCTTTGCCCGCCCTGGACTGCTTCCTCCCCACCTGGGTTTGGCCTGCCAAGTCGGAGCTTACCTCCTCGGCTTGGGGCCCATCCGTTGCCCTCTTCCGTGGGAGGACGCTCTCGGCACTCCCCCCACTCCAGCGACGCCAGCTGGGGTTTAAATCCCTGCGCCGCTGCTCGCTAGTGGGGCCCCGCCTGGCCCAGCATGGACTAGCTTCCAGCCCGGTGCCGCGGCTACGGGGTGACGTCACCTGCACCGTGACGTCGCCGGGAATCCCTGGCTTGCCCGGGCGTCTTGCTGCCGCAGCTGCCCGAGAACACCTGGCGTACTGCCGCGTGGTTTGTGTCGGGGGGCGATCCGGGGTGCGGGGTGCTTCTGCCCCGTCACACTCCCCAATGCTGGAGGGAGGAGCCCTGAGCCTCAAGGGCCAGATCCAGGCAAGACAGGGGCCACATTCAGCCCCCGGGCCTGAAGTTCCCCATCCCTGCTATAGAGGATCTGAGTGTGTTACAGGCTACATCTATGCAATCTAGCTCAACCTGTAACAACGGATGCCAGTTACAGAGGAGATTGCTGTTCAATCCATAGCGGTGGGCAAGATGGCGGCCATGACGCTTCCTGGTGCCACTTTGTGTTGGGTTATGTTTTGTGGCACATACTGAATAAATAAAGATGAACTACCCAGCTGTCATGCCTAGGCCATGCTGTTCACACTTGCTACTGAGATACAAAATGCCTCAAAGTCAAAGAATGTCATGTCTGCGCCTCAGATTTTATTGTTTTAACACTCTACTTCTGTCAAGTAAATATGTCTCAGGCGTTCCATAGAAGCAGAGTTGGTCCTGTTCAAATATGTACATCAAAGGTTTATTGTTCAATATCTAAATTACTCACATCTGTAGGTTTTTATTCTCCAGCGATGCTTGAGAATTCAGGGCAAAAATATTATTTGGAAGAAAACAGGAATAGAGAAGCTTTCCACTTGGTTCACTTCAAGAGGGCTTTTTTATTGCCTAGAATTACAAACCTTTTATTTGGAGAGCTTGTTACGATGAGCAGGGACTGGCCGTCACCCTACAAATCTTTATCGCCAACGTTTCAACTGAAGAGGCACATTTTTTTGAGAGCAGAAAAATCATTAACTTTTATGCTCATAAACTTCTGCCCATCTGAGAGATTCAGGAAATTATGAGATACTGTGAAAGAGGCTCTCTCTGGACTGCATTATCTAACCTGGAAAGTTTGAGACACATCAAAGAATGCCTATGCTCACAAGGTTTGCACGAGAGGCCAGATCTGCAAAATTAGGATCCAAGCTTTCCCTACATTCAATCTGGGCCATTTCTAGTTTTCTATTTCACATTTATATTCCGGACGTGTCTGACGTAAGGGTGAGGGACGTATGGCCCGCAGGCCAGATCCGGCCCCGGGTTTGTTTGTTTTCTTTTGGGGGGGATGACTGATTTTTCTGTGGGTCAGTGGCCGCTGAACAAAAAAAGTTCTCTCACCCCTGGTCTACGGCCCCACAGTTCTGGAACCTTGTCTAAAGCAATGAAGCAAGTCAGTACTACAGTTGGAGACAGAATGTAGTTGTACTGATTCCAAGTCCCGTACTCTTATCATTAGCTCATTTTTCTCTCCAATTTTTTTTTTTTTTGTACATTGCTCCCTAATTTTTAATTCCCTCCATCCAATGATCAAGTGGCTACATTTAGGCCAGGCAAACAGAGAAGGTGGCACAAGATAGCAGTTAACTGTCATCACAGAATTTGATTTTTAGGTCCAAAGAAAGGGAGAAGTAGTCATGGGAAGGAGGCAGTGAGTTTTGTTTGAATCATGTGTCTCTCTGCAGAGCAGATCAGTGTGAAGGGTCCTGAAACATCCAGAAGGCTATGGAGTTCATAGACAGTATCTATGGGAATGTCTAGACTACATGGCTCAGTCGCCAGAGCCATGTAGATTAGTTTACTAGACATACCCAAACGAAGCCATGATTTAAAGAATTGCCACTTCATTTAAATTAAAGTGGCTGCCACGCTGTGCCGATCAGCTGTTTGTTGGCTCAGCGCTAGTCTGGACGCTCCACGGTCGACATCAAAGGCATTTGTTCACCTCCCCGGTAAACCTCATCCCACGAGGCAAACCGGGGAGGTCAACAAATGCCTTTGATGTCAACCGCGGAGCGTCCAGACAACAGCGCTGTGCCGCCAAACAGCTGATCGGCTCAGCGCGGCAGCCATTTTAATTTAAATGAAGCGGGGATTATTTAAATTGCGGCTTCATTTGGGTATGTCTAGTAAACTAATCTACATGGCTCTGGCGATAGAGCCGTGTAGTCTAGACACACCCTATGTCTGAAGCTCTAGAGAAAGTGCCCAGTAAGGGGAAGGAATCTTGCAGGCCACTCACATAGTCCCAACTTCAGAAATTCGACATATCAGATCTCAGCAGACGGAAAGAAAACTAAAGAGATTAAAAACTCTCTGAGAGGTAGCCATGTTAGTCTGTAATTTAAAGAACAAGGAGTCGTCCTGTGGCACCTTAGAAACTAACAAAAATATACAGGATCATACGCTTTTGTGGGTAAGACCCACTTCATCTCACGAGACTAAAAAGATTGAAGACAGTCTTGGCTGACACAGGACTAAGCAATATGTCTGCTGGTACGATTTTACAAAACCAAACAGTGCCTCCTCTTTTGTGTATCTCGACTTGACATTCACACAGTTGAGTTCATGGGCTATGAAAATGATAATATAGATTAAAACAATGCCCCAGAGCTATAGACAGGAGTCAGAGGAAAATGGGAAGCATCAATGAGAGAAGGGAGACTGATTTAGTTTAACAATGTATTCGAGTCAGTAACATACCCCTAACATGACTATAAGTGGAAGTTAGCAATAGACCTGCTCCAAAAAAATTGGTGAACCAGTTTTGGGGGGTGGGCTTGGTCAGAAAATGCAGGTTTTGTCAGAAGTTAAATGCTTTGTGAGAAGGTGCAGACAGGCCCAGCCAAAGCGTTTGCCAGGCCCATGGCAGGACACTGGGGTTGGCTGAGCCACACGCCCCGGTGGCTCCCAGTCAGGGCAGCGAGTGAGCCGCCACCAGCCGGGTGAGCAAGAGCTGGGCCACGCGGGACCCTGAATGCGTGGGGCCACGGGGCCCTGAATGCGCAGAGCCCAAGCCTACTGCCTCGCTCGCCTTGCCCAAAGGCCGGGCCTGTGTGTCCATTACTATGGTTCATTTTTACTTTCTCGTTTCATTTCAAAGTTGTAGCAATCTTCCATTTCATTCTGACTTGTAATTTTCACATATCTATATATCATATCGAGAACGTTCTGATCTATTCTAATACTCACACAACATCAATACGATTTTTTTCTGTGTCTCTAAATGGCATTCCCAGTTTGCAGAGGAGAACTGACTTTTCATCATGATTCAGGAGCATTTTCCTTCCTCCCTCTCCCCCCCCCCCCCCCCAAAAAAAAACCTGTCAGCATCTCCCATTGGATGGAAACTCTGTTTTCCAACTAGCACTAGTTATCATTCCATTTGGAGACACGGACAATGGTTTTGCTGTCTTGGCTCAGGAGGTCACGGCAGGTCTTCCTGATAAAGATGATCCATCATGGAATTCATTCTGGCTTGTAATAATCATGCATGTAAAGTTGTTCAGAGCAAGGACCAGCTTGGACCCAATGATTTACCAGAGCAAAGGGGTGATTAGCAAAGGAAACAGCTGAATTGGGGGAAAAAATAAGGTGGAAAAGAAGTAGCAGTGGAGTCAACCCCTCTGTCACTTACCAGTACGTCTTCACGCTTTGTTCACCCGAACACAGCAGTGCTTTTCCTGAAACAGAAAAAGAAAGGACAAACTTCCGTAAATTACCTGAGATTCCTGCTCAGTAGCTCTCTACTTGTGATGCTTCCGCACAGGTTGATGTGGTATCGTCAAACGTGCGCCACCCATTTCAAACTCCCCGTGGGGGAAAAGTAAAGGTGGCAGAAGCCATGACATTCAGATTACGATTGCGTTAACACTTTATGTTTCAATAGCGCTTTGTGTGTTCAAAGCAAAGGACAGCCATGGACTAGTCAGTCCTCCCCACACTCGCATGAGGGAGCTACATAAGCACTGCACTCTTGTCCCATTTTACAGAGAAGCTACAGAAAGGATGTGAACCAAAACTGGGGCAGAACTGGGATTAGAACTCAAAACTTCCTGCTTCCAAAGCCTGTGGAACCATGCCTCCAGAATGAGATGGTGAATACTCCAGACTTTGAGAGGCTTTTGGTTTAGCCCACAATAAAGCTAGTAGGGTGTGCTAAAATCTAATATGGATCTAACTTCTGATTTACACATGCAGTGTTTGGATGCAGGATTTGGATCCATAAGAAGCAACTTGTTTTTGGGGGACAGAGAGTGGATTTCTTTCCCCCCACCCACCTTGCCCCCATCCTCTGGTTAAACTATTCTGACCAAGCTATGATGTGTGCACGAGATACTTTAGCCTTCAAAAGGCTACCCTAGCACAGCATGTCTTGCTAACATTTAATTCACTGAGGCACATGCCATGGTCTTGTTGGCAGCTACCCTGAACTTTCTCAAGTTCCTGGTAACACCAAATTTAATTACCATCATGTGATCTGCATGTTATGAATAATAAAATGTAATGCCTTCAGAGAAAGCAATACTGGCCTTTTTAAGGCAGATCTGTTTATTTTTATTTTTTTTCTGCGAAGGGTTATACAATCATGCTTCACGATCATTAGCTCAGCGAGGCAGAAATAGAATCCAGGAGTTCAGTTTACCCACGCCCTGTTCTAGTCATTAAGGATACTTGGCATTTCTACAGGGCTTTAGATCTTTAAAGCACTTTACCAATGACATGATCCTTGCAACACTGGTGACTTTACAGTGTTACCTCATTGTACAGTGGGGAACCGGCAGTAATGTTCAGCGATTTGGTCCAAAGTCAATCAGAGCACGAGTGTAACCACTGGAATTAGAACTCCGATACTTCTGGTTCTAGAACAACCCCCTTCCCCCGGGCCACACAGTCTTTCATCTGTGATCTACCGCAGAAAGTATTTGTTTTTCCAGGCCTAGAAACTGGTGACGGGGTCTGGAGCCAATCACCAGCTCAAATCCAAGCCAACGTGGTAGAAACCAAACGTTACCATCAGACTGTCGTCTGGTGGGATCTGTGCAATGAACGGGAGGGGAAAGAGGAGGATCTTTGTCAAGTTTCCTGTGGATTGCTGCCCACAGTGCTAAAACCACCACCACAAGCTGGTCGCTCTGGGGCAAATCTGAGGCAGTGTATAAGGGAGGATGCCTGCACAGCAGCTGACCCATTGGTGCCAGTGCAGTGGATGGAAAGAAGGTGTGAAGCTGCAGTTTTCACTATGGCTACACGCACAGCAAGGAGTGGAGATCAAAAAAAAAAAAAAAAAAAGCTCGTGTTTCACTCTAATTCAGCTGACATTTTAATTCCAGGCACATCTGGAACCCGGACTGTAGGGAACAAAACAGTTGATAATGAAACAGCTGGATCAGGAAATTAAGAAAAAAAATCCGAATTCCACGCTGAAGCTCTTTGTCCTTTATTTATTAGGCTTTGTAAATACACAAAATGTGATTAGAAACAAAAGTGTTGTCTCTGACTGCTCAGAGACAAAACACATCGAGCCTTATCTAAAGTGGATTGCGCCAAATGAGAGTGGATGCTTGTTTTTTTCTTCCCGAGTGTCGAGGATGCAAACAAAACAGAACCAGAGACAGTTCATCGCAGCGTTGGCTCTTTTCACAATTAAAGCCGTGTGCGCGTTTGTGCTGAGGATCTCATTTGAAAGTCAAGCAAATAGCAGCAAACCTCAGACCAGGAGAAACCACACCACATCCCAAAAATATGCAAGAGTGATGCAGGGGGATCCGACTGACAGAGGATCAGGAAGGAACGCAGTGGGCTTAAGAAACCTTTTCATTTTTCCCATTGATAATCTGGCTCCACTGCGGGAGGAAACAAACCTTCCCCTAGATCAGGGTGGAAGGGAAACAAAACAGAGCTGCGATATGAAAGATGAGGAGTTTAAACCAGACAGTCCCAGCGATATGAAAATAATAAGAGAGACAGCACTTCTATTTTCTGCTGATTCTTCTTTTCTTTAACCACCAAGATCCAAGGTTTTGTTTGCACTATTGACAAGGCTACTCATGGAAGTTACATCGATGTCATGGCTGTGAGCAGTCTTTTGCTAATTTCCACACAATGCACAGTGATAGTCTGTGGAACTCATTGCCCCAAGATGTCACAAAGGGTAAGCATTTAGCATGATTCACAAAAGAATAGGGCATGTAGATGGATGGGGAGGATACCTAGGGTTATAACAAAAAGGGGTTAAACACAAAGGGGTTAATGACATGGTTTAACGGAGAGTGGCCAACCCATTAATTGAAGAGAGACAAAACAGCGGCGGAAAAAATGCAAAGAGCCATACCAGAATTGTTGAGCAAAAAAGAAAGCTCCCCACCAGCCAGAATTGTCAAGCAAAAATAATTTTTAAAAAAAGGACACTGTCCCTTTAAACACCAGGCCCTGTTCTAGTCAGATTAGGCTTTTTGGCCACATCAGGCTCCCGCCGGCCAGCACCATCTTGCCGACGCCATTTTGCCATGATGGATGGCTCCCTTGCACCAGGGGCCATTTGTAGGGGCTCATGGGGCGGCTTTGCGAGTTGCACTTTCAGGGGTGGAGAGCTGCGTGCGGCTTGTGAGTCGCCTGGTCTAGTCATTTAGGTGCTATCCCTACTTCCTACTCCACAGACTCCTTGTGACTTCGGCAAGTCTCTTAAGTGCTTTGTGCCTCAGTTTCCCCACCTATGCATGCCTTAGTCATTTTGTGCCTCAGTTTCCCCACCTATACATGCATCTACCTCACAGGAAGTGCTGGGAGGACAAATACATATAGTGAATGGCTGGGATACTACTGGGATGGAGACCATCTAAGTACCTTAGGGAGATAACTGCCTAACAGAGGTGGGGACAAAAACCAACCAAACAAAACTTTCCCAGGGAAGGGTGCAGGTGAAGCCAAAGGGTATGGCTCCTTCTGAAGTATCTGGTATGGGACTAATAGTCTGATCCACTACAGCCGGCGGTTTTCTTCTACTGGGTCATGAGAAAAAAGGCGTGAATGCCACTGCACTAAGGCAATTGTTGTGTGGCTTCCACAGGGCAAGCTAATAGCAGGTGGCTTTCTTGAGCCTGGCAATAGCCTCTATTAAGGGCTAGTCCTTTCTGGAGTGTTCCAGTGTTACCACACAAACACTCCAGAAAGTAAATCCAAATGTACTAAAGGTACGAAGTTAAAACCGGTAAGTTCAGCCACATGAACGCCCTAACTGGATGCTCTTATTTAGAGCTGAAGCAGCTTTCCTGTGATTGAGTTTGATTCACTTCCAAATGAAATGAGGATAAATCACAGAAAGGCCCCTTTAATTCTCCATAAGACTATCCACAAAGGTGCTCAATGCAGTTTAACAAACCACATTAAAAGTTAATTCAGGTTAATCTTCCCAAGTGGCCCTGTGTAGACAAGCCCTTCCCCATCCTATTTGCAAGAGATGTATTGCAGGTACATGGTCTCTGAGCTGTTCGTGACACCCCTTAGTACTACCCTGTGCAATAAGGACATAATTAAGATTCTTATCTACTTTTCCTTTCTCTCTTCATCCCAACTTGGCTACACTAAGCCCACCTTTAAATCAGACAATGAGTCCCCACCATGAATGAATACAGGCGATCACCAGCTTGTGTTTCCCATCATAATCATCAACTTACCCCAGAAGAATTTAGTCCCAGTTTGTGCAATTCTACCTTCCACCAGTGGCTGGCAAAGTATCTCACCTCAAAGCCAGGAGCAGGCCCACTGATGGGAGGGGGCAAAGAGGGCAGCTCTCCCGGGGCCCGGTGAGCCAGAGCTCCCCTAATGCAGCAACAGTGGCAGCCAGAACCCCGGCCCTTTAAATCGCCACCAGAGCCCTGCACAGTTAGCTCCGGCCAGGACTCAAGGCTTCCTAGGGCGAGGTGTTGCCAGAGAGAGGCTAGCCTAAGCCCCACCCCTTCTGTTTGTGGCCACGCCCCTTCCAGGGGCACAGAACTGGACCCCTCCCACCTTGCCCAGGAGTTTGGCGAGTCTGTCAGCTCCACTGGGCAGGAACAATTTATTTCCCTACCCTCAAAAATTAGCTTAATATTTTGTAACTCTAAAATCAATAATAAATATTGTCACAATGTGAACTCATGCGCGGTGCCGTACAACCGCAGCACAAAATGGCACTCCCTGCCTCACTTGTTTGTTGTCCTTGGGCTACAAGGCTAGAGGGATTGGCAAAAATAAAGCGACACATCCATTTGTTTACAGGAGGAAGTCCGATAAGAGTCACACCTTCTCACTCCACTTGCCCTTCCGCGTGTCTACCAGGACAGCAAGCTGGGTTCTGATCCTGCTTGCACATCAGCAGTAAATCGTCACTCGGCGTCTAATTGCAGATGTGACGTCAGGTCTGATGGCAAGAGACTGTCCGAGGCAGGATGAGACAGATGGATTTTCTGATCCCAATGGGACATTTTAGTCTTGACAGTAAGAAAAATGGATTTTGTTTTCCCACTGGCAAACTGAGCATGTTTTAGTGGGAAATAACTGAGGCCAAAGTTCTGACCACAATGCATAGCTCCGGCAGTCAGACTATGTGCACAAGTTTCTCGGGGGCTGGGAAGAAGTAACCTTTCTCTCCTCCCATGCTGTTGTTCTAGCTTGTAGGCTGGAATAGCCTGGCAGCACTTGC